CTACTCTATAAGCAAGCAATTCTATAATTTATTCTATACATTATTTTTTTGTTTTAAATTATAATTACGAATGAAAACATTAATTAAATAGTAAATTTGATTATCAACAAAAGATTCTATATTATTTTAGATTTTAAATTACTATTCAAAATTATAAAACAGTAAACACGCTTTATGAACGACTATAATTATTATAGCAACCAACAACTTTCAATGTAATCGACACTGTTATTGAGTGACCTTACCTATTATTCAATAATTTGATTTTAATGACACCCAATTCTAGAAAATCCTAAGTATACTTACGTAGAAGATCTACCTTACTTGTTGACAGAACATGGTAATTAAAAATTACAAGACAAAAAGGAAACGTAAACAATGTCAATTTCTTGTATATTTATATCAATTTTGAAACAGGTAAGGTACCGATTATTAAAAAAAAAATGTTAAATTAATTATGTACAAACTATTTATTTATTTTGTTACACAAAACATACAACATTCAATATCAGTCTTGCAATATCTACTACGACTCGATCAATTCAATTTACAATGTTACAGGCTTATAATTTACAAATATAAATGCACAATTTTTGAGTCACACGGCCTATTGCAGATATAAAAAATTCACAATATTTGATTGAAGAAAAGACCATTTTGTTGGACCTTTAAAAAAAACTACTTTGTTGTTTAATTAAAATTACAAAAAAAAACTATTCTTTAATATGTTAATCAACAGGTTTGCACAGTAAAACAAAACTTTATACCGTTTCTACTATTTTTCTTCGAATTAGGCATATAGTTAAATACAAATCTTTAAATTTCCACCAAAACACACAAGTGAAAAATTTGAGGTTTTTGTTTGAGCAAATTTATCTTTCCTTTGTAATGTATTTTAAACAACTAGAAATGATCAATGACTTCAACAGACGAAAACATTTTTTGTGCTGACTTAACAGGTGCCTTACAAAAAAAAAACAATTTTCTTAAAGTTCATCACACTTTCCTATAACGGATTGTCAATGAGCACCAATAAAATCGAATATCAAATTCTGATATAAAAAGGTTTAGATAATATAAACGTATACAGGGCATACAGTGCAGGGATCCTTTGTTACAAAGAATACAGAATCAATTAAATTTTTCTTTTTCGTTAATTGCTATTGTTTTTCAAAAGTGAAAACTATATTAGTTAGTGTGCCTTATTATTTAATTAATAAATATATTGTGTAACNTAGGTGCCGCCTGATCCTTTGATCGGTTATTGCTCGTTACTCTGCAGTCTACAAGTTTTAATCTACCAAACACAATCGATTAGCCATTAATTTCCAATTAGTGACATATAAGGAAAAAAGCAATAGTTCCACGATTACATCATCGATAGCAAATAGGTGTTGTAGGTGGTATGCTTATACTGTACATAACGTAAATAATATTTATATATGTATGATATAGCTATTTATGTATATTAGAGATTGGCTGGGTATCCGGTTTAGATCCGTTACTTTTATTAGTATCCGACCGGGTACCGAATAATTGCATCAGAAACAATTCTAACTAATATTATAAACGCAAATGTCAGTTTGTTTGTTTGCTACCTTTTCATGCCCCAACCACTCAACCTATCATCATGAAATTTTATTCACACATTGTCAAATAGAAAAGGACATAGGGCACCTTTTATCCAGAAAAAAATACTGTTCCCAAAAGATAGTATCATATCGTCCTCGATGATCTTTTACGACATTAATGGCGGATAAAACCTAGTTTTTCAATAAGAAGTACAACAAACGTACCTTAAAAATTGGTAATTAAATTATATTGATAATAGTTTTGCCGGATACTTGGCACAGCTAATGCTGGGTACACGGTTATCCGGTAGATACCCGGCAAAATTACTATCTGGTGCATGTTTAATATATACCGTATATATTTTTCAATAAGATATCTATATTAAATAACTTTTTGCAATTACAGGAGAGAAGCTGAAGATATTAAATTTTATTTAACTTACCTATGAAGTACCTACAATACCTGTTGTATGTGAAATTCAGTAATTATAAAATATGAACTTTAATAAATCAACTAGGTACCAAATAGATAACTATTATACATACATTGTTTCTGTACCGTAATATTATGTAAATCTGTATTATAATTGTATAAACCTAAATATCTGCATGCACATTAACAACTGTACAGCTGTACTAATTTTCCCGCCAAAATATTATTTTACAAAAAATAAATTATTAGAATACCATGCATTTCTGCTTTAAGACAAAAATTATTTAATAGTAAACATATTTTCATTTTTCTACGGATGATGAATGCTACCTATCAATAAATTACACTTTTAACGTATAAATTAACAGTGTTATGTTAACGTCTTTTTACAAGAGTATAGAGTAGGTAGGTACTTAAAAAATATCAAATTTAATTGGTTGACATGAACTGTTAAGTGTATAACTGACGACATAAAAAACAACAATTACAATAAATCGCAACAAAATGTAGGTATGTAATTAAGTGTTTCCATAGCAACGATGTCATTATGATGAAAGTAAATGATGTGGGCTGTTAAAACCACAAACAGTAAGCAATAATAGAGGTCATTTGTACAAATTGCACGAGCGCTACATAGGTATCTCTCGTGTCAAAAGAAAGATGATTCCCATGATTCATGAATTATTAATTTGAATTACTAATTTACCACAGCAGGTAAACATGGTAATTATAGTGGTAGAAATAAAAAAAAACATTTCACCTACGTTATGCTCCAGACAAGTCGAAGGCGATCTTCGTCCCAACAATTATAACGTATGAGTGTTCTCTGCTAAAATGAAACATAAACGTTGACACCTGGTCGCTGATCTACCTGGGCCCGCGCTGAACCCCGCGACTCCGGCCGCCGGCTGACAACTTAGTCGACAGCCACCACCTTATTTTACCATTTTAGCAACTACTGTCCACAAAAATAACAACAATCGAATTTTAATTCGTGTTTATGAGCGTCAAAAAATCCAAAAAATACTAAATCACTACACTAACGCGGACACTAACGAAGAATTGCGGTGTAAACGGTCTCGTCAAACGACAACGACAACCCGTCGGTGGCCATCTTGGGCGAAATGAATATGTAATAATTACGACAGTTTTTCACATACTTGTCGACAAATTCGTCACAATATGACACATCCGCAATACGGTACTGTCATAAAAATATGCCATTAATTGTACAAGAGATTGCAATGCTCACAAAATTACACAAAATGCTGATTCGTAACTGACAGAAACACTACGTAGCACAGCAACGGTTGAAACGTCGTCCGGCGGCTGTTGTACTGCAACGGAACATTCCAGGGAATTTTCTATCTTCTTTAACGTGTTATTTAGGAACAAATGATTAAACGTTCAACGAATTTCTTTTCGTTTTCTCACATTTTCATGGCACTTATCGCCGACGGTAATTAAATTATGACACACATAATTCATTTCAATAGACACATCACAACAAAAGGTTAATATTGTGACAAAATGGCCAGAAAGAGCGCGCGCATATCTGTCCGATCCCCCCTTGCCGCTCACGAAAGATGTTTAAATATACGTAGACGTATTTCCGTTCTTAATTCCATTGAGGGGAAAGGGATGCGGGCTCTTCTGTAAATTGATCGGCGAGCACGTATTTGAATGGTTATTTTTCTTTGTGTTGTGACTCTACCTTTAATAATAATGCTATGATTAACGTAAACTCGTCACAGCGGTTAATTTGAAACTTATTTGTAACACCGAACTTCTGTTTTACATAAAATTTAATACGTATTTATAAATTTAATCATGAATACATAAATAGTACATATGTAACCGCGAGAGCGGTGTTGTTTGTTATCAATGGGAAGATGCTTTTTTTATCGCTTTATAAATTAATACGGAAAGTACATGGCGCATGGGCACTTTCCTGATTATAAAAATTGATTGATTATATAGAAACCATATTTTTAAGCAAAATGCTTACAAACAATAAAATTGGAGCATATTGTCTATATAAAAATGATATTTTGCCAAAAACCGACAAATAGTAAATTTCAAAACTATTATATAACATTTATAGATTGTTACGTTTTCTTCCTTAGAAATAAATTTTTACCGATTTTGGAAAATAAATCTACCGTTTTAAATGTCTTCATAATTTTTAATTGAAAATTACACCGAGTAGATAGTCTATTTTTAGCGTATGAGCAAGTATGGTTGCCTAACCACCCACATATGCACCATGATAAACTTACAAATAATTTCATTAGCTTCTTTGAACACTGTACACGTTTATAATTGCATTCACTGCAAAAAAGAAACTGTAAACGAAAAACGTTTACATACAACTTTATTTTAATCTTCAGTTTCAAACAGCCTAGTCTTTAAAAACACTTAACATTGCTGAAAAATGTTTGAACACAAAACAAATACTTTTTATTATTTACACTTAAGTGCCTACAACTATGTTCCTATTTAAGTAAAATGTAATATTTCATATTACCCAAAAATTAATTAAGTACTTCATAACAAAAAACGATTTTAACAATTTTATTATTAAAAAAATTTATTTTGTCACTTACAATATAAAAATAACATACAAGTTAATCTAACCTACGTCATAGAATGAACTGAATAGAATTACAGATTAAATTAATACGGGGCGTATCTTCTGGAAGGTGATGGACCTCGAATACCAGGCCTATAAAACATAAAAGTATTAGTATAGGGATTAAGAACAGAAATAACATTCATTAAACAGTGTAATCAAAATATGTATGAGCGTAAAATTAGTAGAAAGTAGATAGATATGCCGTAAAAGCTAAAATAAAGGGATGTATTACTTTTTAATACAAACGTGAATGAATATTATCCAAAAGGAGATCATATGGCTTCTCCTTCTAAGGAACTAACACAGTCTATACCCTTAATAAATACGTTTACATCTTGCAAAAACTTATGCAATAGGCGGTAAATACTATATGGGGAATGTTTAAACAAAAAATTAAGATGATAAAGAACAAATTGCTTCCTTGCATTTAAAAAAGCGCAATAATGATGGGGGCAAATCTTACCTTGGCAAATATTAAATAACGAATGCATACTTAGCCTAATTAGCCTTTATATGCCAAAAACTACATCTCTCGGTTCTACGTATCTCCATCTACGTACAAGAACCACAAACAATAAAATAAGGAAACAAACCATTTACTTTACCTCCTGTCATCGAAGGAGTCCCTGCTAAAATCTTCGTACATGCGACTCATTCGCGAGCCGGGTATCGACCCGGACGGCGGGGGAGATCGTCTGCTAAACATACCATAGTCACTACTGCTTCTACCAAAACTGGAATCTCTTAAACCGCTGCTAACACCGCTACTGGGTAAACCTCGCGGTCCGCCGATGCTAGGCATGGGCGGAAGAGGTTCGCGTCTTGGCGGCATTGGGGGAGGCAAGAAATCTCCACGGCCACCCCGTATACCCATCTCACTTCGGGGAGGCATGCCCGAGTAGCGGCGCTCATAGAGATCCCGACCATCATCGTAACGACGCTCGTAGTAACTATCGTAGCTGTCCTAAAACACGACAAATCAAGTTAGTTTTGATAGTTTTAGGGAAGTACACAGCAAGCCAATAATTACCTAAAATTTCAACAAAAAATTTAAGTAACTTTACGAATGACAAACTACACACATGAATAATTGTTAGTGTAATCTTGCTATGTACTTATGTATTAATTTAAACCAAACCCAATATTTATGAGTTATTTTATTTTGTTTTTTTTTCAGTTTTTACTTCACTTAAGACTTAAAAGCATGATATCTTGTTTTTTTATTCCCTTTAGTAAATAATGATTAATAATGATAAAAATGAATTATACATTAGGAATAATCAATGATGGAACTGAAAGTTTGCAAAAAATTTAACAAAACAATGTTATCACTGAAATTTGAATTGTTAATGACACCCTTCTACTATGCTTCATTGTAATTGTTATAAATTTACTAAATACTTCGATTGAGACTGAAATTCCGGACGAGTGCAGTGTAATTTATAGTAATTATGTGACAGGAACTAGGAGATAAATGGAAGATGATTATAATAATGGTAGGTGGGTATTTGATGCTTTTCTTTTGTGTAAATCAGACCCGTACCCCAAATCGGCCCATCATCCGGTCACGAAGGAACGGTGGTGGCGGCGGCGGCGGATAGGGGTCCCTGGCAAACATGCGGTCGCGGAATCGGTCGGGTCCCATGCCTTTGGGACACTCCTTGGACCAGTGACCACCGCGTCCGCAGCGGTAGCACTGTTCCGGATCGCCCATTCCCGGACGTTGACGCACGCGACTCGTCGACAACTGCACCTTCATCGGCTGCCCGTCCACCGGCGTGCCGTTCAATTCTTTGATTGCTTCGTTCACGTCCCCGGACGACTCTAAATGCACGAAACCGTAGTTGCGTACGATGTCGCATTCCACCACGGTCCCGTACTTTTTGAACAACTCACGCACCTGGGGTGCCTTTGTGTTCTCAGTCAGGTTTCCGACGAAGATTTTCGTGGTAGGTGTCGTGGGTGCTTTACGGCTTTTGGCCGCCTCGCACTTGATTGGCGACCCGTTGACGACATAGCCGTTTAAATTTTGAATTGCATCGCGACCCTCCGACTCATTCTCCATATGTACGAAACCGTAATTCTTGACCACGTCACATTCCACCACCTTGCCGTATTTCTCGAATAGTGGTCTGATGTCGCTGTTGTTTGTCTTTTCGGCCAAGTTCCCGATAAATATTTTGAACGTACCCGCGCTGCTAAAACCCGGCATCGTGCTGCGTCTATCCGGAGTAGTATCGAGGATGAATAACTTCAATAAACGATGCGAGCCGAGTCGGTATGTAGTGTAATACTTACACAAATGCCTGAAACTCGAACGATTTAAAGACACCGTGATACAACACGCCACGAGATCGGAAAATTAACGTCATACAAGCGTATTATAAGTATCATACTTTTTTCTCCAACACCCATGACATCAACGATTTTCACTCAAATAGTGTTGCCAGATTTCTTTTCAGTTGATATCATTTTAAAACAAAACTGCTTTTCGTTATCCAAAGGATTATATTCAAGAAATTGTAAAAAAAAATTTCTTTGATCACTAACGTCAGATAAGTTGTTTATGGGACCCTGTATATGATACAACACGTAAACAAAATGGCCGCTTCTACAGCCAGGTAATGTAACGAAATGTTTCAAATAACAAACTGAATGTCGTAAATTATCACTTGACCTAGGTAAAATACAACGTAGAAGTATTTATGACTTTTGAATCAAAAATAATGAAATTAAACGCAAGCATGCAAGTACTGCTTTAGACTTCAATCGATAGTGTTAAATTTATTCATAAAAAAACGTTTACATACTTAAAAAAAAATAAGATGGTAAATTACATTTTAAGAAAGAGTAGGTACCACAATATACACAAAGTGGAAATAACCAAAATATTATAAACATCTGGAAAACAATTTAATTTGTAATGGCGTCGCTTTATAAAATCTGGCAACACCAAATCGCTTGTGACGAAACCGACTCGAGGCGGTACACATTCGGAAAGAACAAATAAAATACATTTTTAACGAAGGTGGACTTATTAATACTTAGTAATAGAAAAGTTAACGGCATATATTTTATAATAAACGAATAAAAGAATTTTAGCATTGTCTCGTAACGACTGTTGGTATTGTATCGATTTTGGAGTAAATTATTGTAGACTTCTCTTTCTCTGTGAATAAAGTAAATATTTGTAAAAGCTTACCTTCTACACAAAAATTAATTTGATAGTAATTCCAACACAACGTCTTCGTCCGTACTTGTCAACACAAGAAGCAAACTACAAATGGCGAATGGCGTACGATGCGTCATCAATTTTGAGGCGACCTCCTTCGATCCTGCAAAAATTATATTGTGCGCATGCTCAGAAAATAGTTATAAGTATATCCGCTTTGTACATGAACGCACAAAATTTAAAATTGACAATTTGTAATAAAAAAACCTATTTTTTTCTCGATAATATTGATAAATTGTAGAAAGTTGTAATGAAACGTGGGATTAATTATACAGAATAAAATCAGATTTTTTTAAATATTCGAATTACTTTTTTTTAGTTAATACCTACTCTATAAGCAAGCAATTCTATAATTTATTCTATACATTATTTTTTTGTTTTAAATTATAATTACGAATGAAAACATTAATTAAATA